GCTTTGAACCCCTTTGATTGTGGTCGGCGGTCAGAAATCTTGGTACGACTTTGATCTTCTTGGGATTTGCGTCGATGCCGCGCTGGCTCACGATGTAGCCTAGGAATTTTCCCGAACCAACGCCGAAAGTACATTTCTTAGGATTTAACTTTATTGAATTATCACGCAAAATGGAAAACATTTTATTAAGGTTGTTTACATGGTCGGACGCGTGCATAGACTTGACTAACATATCGTCTACATAGACGTCCATACTAACCCCTATCAAACTAACAAACATTTTGTTAACTAGGCGTTGTCCCCGACGTTCTTCAACCCGAACGGCATCATGGTATAACAATAGACCCCGAGCTCCGAGTAGAATTAGGTGTGCTCCTCATCGTTTGGGTGCATGGGGATCTGATTGTAGCCGGAGTACGCGCCCATAAACCTCATCAGCTCGTGACCCAATGTGGCGTTGACCATATAGTCGATGTGAGGCAAAGGATAGCTGTCTTTCAGGCATGCCTTGTTGAGGTCGGAGAAATCAATGCACAAGAGCCACGCCTTGCTGCTTTTCCTTACAAGTACCGGGTTGGCCACCCAGGTCGGATATTGGACCTCATTGTCTTTGATCTTTATCACTTCCTCCTCAAGAGCCTGTTGTCGATCTGGGCCTAGTTTTTCTCTCTTTTGGATGACTGATGTGACCGTCGGGTCGACCTGCAGCCTATGGCAGGCGACCTTGGGGTCAATGTTGACCATATCTTTGTGGGTCCAGGCGAAGACGTCGACGTTCTCTCAGAGGAATTGTGTCAGCTCTGCCTTTAGTGGCCCCGACAGCTTGCTTCCGATACGCAGCTATTTTTGACAGGTTCCCTCATCAATAAAAATTACCTCGACCTCGTTCATGGGCTCGGCTTGCTTGGTGACCGTTTTTTCTTCAAACTGGGATCGGGGGTCGAGCTCGTCCTTCTCGATGATTGGCTCTTTGTCGGCCCTCCTCGGACCCCCCCGCAGCAGGGCCGATGTTTCTTGCAGCCGAGGGGATCGGACCTATCTGGTTTCCCAGCATGCAGTTGTCCCCCAGGCTAGGCGGCACCAGCTCGGCATTGGTGTTCGGGAGATTCAGGCCGTCGCCAACATCGGTTTTTAGCTCAGCGCCCTCCACCTCGGCGACTGGTTCAGAGTTTTCCATATTGATCTCCGTCCGCGGGATGGTCAAGACGCATTCTCTCGCCTCCCGTTGGTCTCCGCGATGAGACCCTTCTCCGTCCGCGGTCGGAAATTTGATAGAGTAGTGGGAGATTGAGACGGCGGCCCCCAATTTGTATAGGTCGTCCTGCCTCTGATGGCATTATACTCACTCGGGCAGTCCACGATCTTGAAGTTTTCTAGGAGTCCTCGTGGGCTATCCGTCTCCTCCGAACTTGATCGGCAGCACAATCTGACCGACCGGGAGCGTTGTCTGTCCGTTAAAACCATCGATCCGTTCTCGGCAGGGCTGCACCTCTTTCATATCGCCGCCCATCTTCTTGAAGGTGTCATAGTAGAGGATGCTCACATAGGCCCCGGTGTTGACCATCATGCAATGAACCTTTATTGCCATGATGGGCACCATGATCACTAAAGCATCGGAGTGGGGGTGGTCGAACAGAAAGGCATCCTCGTCGGTGAAGAGATTTTTCGGCGTGGTTTCCTGCACTGGTATGCCGTTGGCGTGTTGTATTCTCTGCCCGGTGTGATAGGCCTGCCGGGCATACGATTTGGTTTGCCTCCTCGAGGGGAGGAAGTCACCTTGGCTCGTGTTGATGCACCAAGGTGCGTAAGCTTGCTCGTCACCCCCTCGCTCGGAGGTCCGGTCTCTCTTCCTGCTTCTCGAAGTCCCGGCCTCATCCTGGTGGGCCAGGTGGAAAGTCAGAATCTCCTGGTTGCTGCCATGCTGCGGTCTCTTCCTTGTATGTTGAACATCGGCATCATCTTCACTTCCGGGGCCGTCCTCGAACCGGCCCCCTTTCTTTCTTTTGTCGTTCGGGTGGATGAACTTCTTTAGCTGCGAGTCATCTATCAGCTTCAGCTATGCCGTGATCAAGTTTCAGCACTAGTCGGTGTTGTGCCCGTGCCCCTCGTGATTGACACAATATCGATATTTGTCGAGGCAGCTTTGGTCGACATGCATCGGCTTTGGGTCCGAGAGTAACCCCTTGGTTTTGATCTCCTTGTAGACCGCATGTAGTTCCCCGTTCGATTTGTAGAATTTTTCATATTATTATATTTATCGAATTTTATTTATGAGATTATATTTATATTTTTAGGGCGCGATATCTACTTAAATTATAAATATTAGTACTTATCGTTTTTGTAGTGCCCCGTTCGATTATTGGATTTTATGTGATTACTTGGATTTTAGGTGATTATATGGTATTATTGTATTTTGGCTATTTATGATTATTTCTCAATTAAAGCCCTCGTATTAATTGTCTTTAAGATGATATAATGCCTTGTTCGATTTAATTTAGTTAAGTCCTTAAAAGTTTCGGTTTAAAACAGACTAAGGATCGATTTTTATCTTCGCGTATTGACCAAACCGAGCCAAACTCAAACCGGGGTTAAACCAGACATTTAGAAATATTTTCTAAGTCATTTAGCNCCTCTAACCCCCTCCCCAAGACACAACACACTCCCCTCTCTCCCATACATCAACTGCCACCTCCCTTCACCTCCAAACACTAAGCGCTACCCTACCGCGGCCGTCCCGCACCATCCACGTGCCATCCGCGACGTACCCTGGAGACCCGCGAGTAAGATACATGGCCAAACCTTGCACCCCAACCCCTGTTTTTGCTCTTCCTGGCCAGCAAGGTGAAGCCCACCACCGTTCGAGACTATCGGAGAGGATTCCAGCCCCGATGGGCCTGCGCTTAGCCGCCGAGCCGTCTTGATGAGACATCGTGCGTCCGATTGCCGGTCGAGCCGTACAAGTGCCTCGTTCCCGACAATAGGTTCGGAGGTTCACTCGCACGCCCCTTCGAATTAAAGTTGCAAAAGAAAACGTAAAGAATTCTAAGGCAATGTGTTCAAACAAAAGTTCAGTTTTTGTATTAAATTCAATGATGAAAAATAACATGAGCATGCGCCTTTATATAGGCTTCAAATAAATATAGTCCTAATCAATCTAAATCTCTTAATAAAACTATAATTAAAGTCCTACACAATCTAGAAATCATAAGGAAACTAAATGTCTAAAGGAGTCCTAGAAGATCTAGTCTTGTGCGCCAAGCAAAGAAACCCTAGCCGCCTTGGTCTCTTCATCGCGCCTCTTATTTTCCCTCGAGGATTAGGGCACCGCCGCCTTTGCGCGCGCGTGTCTCCTCATCACGCTTCTCGCCTATCTCCGCGAGCGTGGCCGTACCCGCCTACGTGTGCACACGCAGTCCTCACCTCGACGCCTTTCACGTTGCCGCCCATTTTGCACGTGTCATCTCCTGGTCCGCGCTCGCCCGTCTTGAGTACTAGCGTTTCTCCCAACCACCGCGCTAACCTCTTCCTCGCATGGTAAGCCCAGCTCCAGGCATTCTTAAGTCATCGCGCCACGTCTTCATCATTCTCGTCCCCTTCAAGTGCTTCCTTGTCCTCAAGGATGAAAGTCGGGAATTGTGCATGCATTTCTTTCAAGTCTTCCCATGTCGCCTCCTCTATCGGCAAATCTTCTCACTCGGCCAACACCTCCCAGCGGTACCGGCCAGCCTTCTTGTTTCGCCGGCATTCGACCTCGCGGCCTGGCCGCACGACGATGTGCTCATCCTGCGTTGTTGCTGGCAGCCGATCGTACACCCAATGGGACTCGCCTAAACTTCGCTTGAGTTTCAAAACATGTATCACTGGGTGGATGTGCGAATCCTCCAGAAGCTCAAGTCGATAGGCCACTTTGCCTATGCGCTCCAGAAATCGGTAAGGCCCATAGTAGCAGACGCCAAGCTTAGTCACGACCTTCTGCGCCGCGGTGCACTGCCTGAATGGCCACAACTTCAAATAGACATAGTCATCCGGCTCGAAGCTCTCTTCGCGCCGCTTTCCGTCATGATAGGCCTTCATCCGGTTGATCGAGCCTTCAAGGTTTTTCTTCAGCTCACGCAACATTAAGTAGGTGCTATGACTTTCTAAGACCCAGAGGATTCACGAGGCCGTGGACCAGGGTTGTTTGGGGAACTTGCAATACCCCCAAACACTCATTCATCCTATGGTTGGGGGTGCTTAATTGGCTCCGGACAAGAGACCGACTCAATTTCCTTGAGGAAGATCCGATATGCCCTCTCTGTGGAAAAGTGAATGAATCTTCGAGCCACTTATTCTTTGAATGTACCTTTAGCTCGGAGATTTGGGGAGAGATCTGTGCTTGGATTAGTCTCTGACATAGGTCGTCCACACTAAAAGGATCCCTCAAATGGATAAAAAAGGAGGCGAGAGGGAGTGGTTGGCAAACCAAGTTGAAGAAAGCGGCGCTTGCGGCTACCGTATACTTCATTTGGAATGCTCGGAATCGGTTGGTGTTTGAGAATGAATACCAAGGCCCGAGTCTTGTAATTTGCAAGGTAAAAACCCATGTTTATCAAACTATTTTTGCTACATATCCGAATGTGCTTGTTGAATTTGAGAGGAGGAGCCTAGGACTTTGAGAGTCATTTGTGCTTTATTGAGGAGGTTTTGGAGTGGCTATTGGATATGGTTTTGCCTTACCTGTCGAAGGGAAAAATATTTGTGGAGCATAGGCCGTTGATAGAAGGCCCCGAGCGATGAATTAGAAGCTCTAGGAGTCAAACAATGGTTACCGGGACAAAATTTGCTTGTACATGTCATTCCACGCCCGCGAAACAGGATTCACGAGCTAACTCCAGTTCGCAAGGCAGACTCGCGCCTGCGAGTTCATGTTCGCGGGATACCAGCATTTCCGCGAGATAATGGCACGGACAGAGGTTAAAGCCTCTAAATTTGGAGCATGCGAACTCATCCTATCTTGCGAGCTACCCAGCGAAGTTCATTTCCGCGCGCGTGACCTCCTTCGCGAGCTCGCGAGTACAGATCCTTGCACGCGAACTATCCTGCGAATGCCACTTACCCCGCGAGTTCTCATCAGCGCATGTGAGCTGCATAATAACGCGAACTGCCTCAGTCCACGAGCTGTAAGCCATCCGCGCGCGCGAGCCAACCAGCCACAGTGATGTTTGGTGACTGTTCGGGGCCATAAGAACTCCGATTTCAACTCCATTTTTTCCTATGTGTACCCAATGAACTGTTGTACGAGAACTATGAATGAACTCTTTCATTTTGTTTCCAATACTTGGGAGTGACCAACCGACTTGTGGTTGGCCTAGTATAGCTTTCTCTCGCGAATGAGGAACCGACTTTTGGTTGCCCATTACGTTGTGTATGTCGTTGACCAGTTGTCCGAACCAATTTTGATATATATATATTTACATTTAATGATAAAAAAAAAACATTAAGTCGCGTTCCATCAATTCTCGATCGACCTCGTCATTTATAGCGCTCCCGGCCGCATAACTCACTAGCGTCGGCGGCTTTCTCCCGTACACCAGCTCGAACGGCGTAGCCGTGGTCGAGCTATGGTAAGTGGTGTTATACCAATACTCGGCCCAAGGTAGGTATCCGTCCCATTGATTCGGGAACTGGTGCACATAGCACCGTAGGTACTGCTCCAACGTGCAGTTAATCACCTCGGTCTGGCCGTTTGTCTGCGGGTGGTACGCCGAACTCATCGATAGCTCGGTCCCTTGCAACTTGAAAAACTTAGACCAGAATGCTCATGAAGATCCGATCGTGATCAGAGACAATCGACCGCGGCACCCCATGTAGTTTCATGATGTACTCGATGAACAGCCTCGCGATGGACTTCGCCGTGTACGGGTGCGTCAGTGGTACAAAGTGTGCGTACTTTGTCAACCGGTCCACCACGACCATCACTCCATCAAACTCGTTTTACAATGGCAATCCTTCAATGAAATCCATCGTGATGTCCTCCCAAATCCTTGCGCCGAAAACGGTTGCAGCAGCCCGCCCGGCCACCGCGCGTCAGCCTTCGTCCGTTGGCACTCATCGCAGCGCGCAACGTAGTCGCGCACCGTCCCTTGATGCCTTGGCCAAAAGAAAGTATTGACCATCCTCGCCCATGTCCTATAGAACCCAGAATGCCCACCAAGCTTGGAATTGTGGAAGTGCTGCAAGATCTTCTCACGGAGTTGCCCCTCATTTGGTACGAATACCCGGCCTCGATAGAGTAACAGGTCGTTGTGCCGCTCGTAGTCCGCGACTGATGCGTCTCCGCGTCCACCTTGCGCTGAAGGTCTTAGCATTGTACATCCCTTTCCTGGGCCGTCTTCACCTTATCCCATACGGCCCACGTTGGGCTAGAAATAGTCTTGAGCTCCGCCACATCTGTGCGTCGAGACAGCGCATCGGCCACGACGTTTTAGCGACCCGGCCGGTACACGATCTCGAAATCGAAACTCATGAGCTTCGAGACAAACTTCTGCTGCTCGGGCGTCATGGTCCTTTGCTCGAGCAGGTGTTTGAGCGACTACTGGTCGGTCACAATCCGAAAGCGTCGCCCCAACAGGTAGGGTCTCCAGCACCGCACGGCCTCCACGACTGCCAGCATCTCTTTCATGTACGCAGACATTCCCTACCGCGTCGTTCCCAGCGCCTTGCTGAGAAAGGCTAAGGGCCGTCCTTCCTGTACCAAGACTGCCCCGATTGCCACGTCGCTCGCGTCGGTATGTACTTCGAACATAGCATCGAACTTAGGCATCGCGAGCACGGGGGTGGTCGTCCTAGCTTGTTTTAGTTTCTCGAACGCGTCCTCGCTAGCCTCCAACCACTTAAAGTCGCCTTTCTTCGTCATCTCCGTGAGTGGCTTGACGATTGTGCCATAGTCCTTCACGAATTTGCGGTAATAACCCATAAGGCCGAGAAAGCTCCGAAGCTGCTAAGGCTGGTTAGCTTCGGCCAGTCGACCATGGCTTCGATCTTCCTAGGTCAACCTTCACGCCATCATGTGATTTGAAATAGCCGAGGTACTCGACCGACTTCTGCCCGAACGAACACTTCTCATGGAATGAATTCGCCTCCAAGGTCTCCATCACTATGCGCAAGTGCTCGAGGTGCGCTTCTCATGTCTTCGAGTATACCAGAATATCATCAAAGAACACGAGCACAAATTTGCGCAAGTGCTCCTTGAATGTGGAGTTCATCGCAAACTGAAAAGTCGACGGCGCGTTGCACAAGTCAAAGGGCATCACTAGGTACTCGTAGTGCCCTTGGTGTGTACGAAATTCTGTCTTAGGGATGTCGGCCTTGTGGAATCGAATCTGATGGTACCCGGCCCTAAGGTCGAGCTTAGAAAAGTAGCGTGATCCTCCTAGCTCGTCGAGCATATCGTCGACGCTCGGAATTGGGAAACGATCCTTGATGGTCGCAACATTCAAGGCACGGTAGTCCGTGCAAAACCTCCACGTGTCGTCCTTCTTCTTTGCGAGTAGGATAGGAGATGAAAACGGGCTCGTACTGTGCTGGATGAGCCCGGACTCGAGCATCTCGTCTACCTGCCTCTCGATCTCTGTCTTCTGGAAGTGCGCGTATCGGTAAGGATGAACGTGCACAGCCTGCTTTTCATCGACCAGCGGTATGCGGTGGTCGAACTCTCGGTGCGGTGGCAGCCCCTGTGGATCACCTGGGACTCGGCCAAATTGCTCGAGCAGCTCGCGTATCTCTGACAGCGACTGCTCGGCCTCGCCATCGCGCGTTTCAAACTCCTCGATCACTACCACAGAGAGTTGGCCGCCCCCACGCCAAACTTGCTCAATACTCTTGAGACCAACTTCCTTTGTCCCACCATCCTCACTTACCCTAAGCGTGACTCGCTGTTCTCCCGAGTCAAACTTCATGACCCCCTTGCGGTAATTGGTGGTCACGTCGCCCGGGCTTTCAAGCCATTAGACCCCTAGCACCTCATTAGTTCCAACGAGAGGCAAGGCATAAAGGTCAGCCTTGAAGGTCACCCTTTGGAATTTGATTGGTACGCCATATAAAGCATCAGAACAACGCAATTGCTCACTGTTGGCCACACGCACATCAAACGGCTCGACCTTGGTCGTGGGCAGCTTCAGTTTCTGTGAGAGCGCAACGTTGATAAAGTTATGTGACGACCCGTTTTCTACGAGCACGACCACGTGGCGGTCCCTGACCCACGCGGGCAGTCGCATTGTCTTTGCCCTAGCGTACCGGCCATCGCATGCATCGAGATCCCAGCCTCCGCCTTGAGCATCTCGACCTCGTCCTCTTCCGGCTCGTCTATCGCCAGCTCTTCCTCATCGGACTCGACCACGTCGATTACAAACGCTTGCTTGCACCTGTGGCCAGGAACAAACTTTTCCTCGCACTTGAAACATAGGCCCTTCTCGTCTCGCCTATCCATCTCCTCAAACGAGAGTCGTTTAACCTCCGGTATGATTGTTCGAGTGTTATTCGGCGGTCCAGGATTGAACGTGCTTGGCCTGGTGGAACACGGCGCTGCTCCGGGAACCGTACGTCTGCCCGTCCCCTTCTAGTGGCAGCGAGGTGATCATCCCGTCGCCTAGCAACCTCCATGGCCCTTTGCATAGTGTCTGGCCTCTCCAATCGCACTTCGGCGGCTAGATCAAATTTCAACCCGCCAATGAATGCGCCCACCAGCGCGCTCTCCGGCCACCCACGTACGTTACATGCTAAGCGCTCGAATTCTTTTGGTAGTCGCGCATGCTCCCCGTCTGCCGTACGCGTGAGAGAGTTTCATCGTAATTGTGGTAGTCAGATGTCCCGAAACGCGTGAGTAGCTCGCGTTCGAAGTCCTCCCATCCGATCACTTGTTGTCTACCGCGGTAGATGCTTGTAAGCCACTGCCACCACACGTTGGCCTCGCCATCCAGATAATAGGACGTGTATCGAACCCACTCGTGCCCAGCAGTTTCGTTGAGCTCAAAGTATTGCACGGCCTGTTTGAGCCATGCGTCGGGGTCAATCCCGGTGAATGCGGACATCGTTAACCTCGATTTATCGAGCTGCGGACGGTAATGATTGTTTGAAGCCTGTGACCGCTACTCATACTCCTCCTCTTCCCGTTCGTGCTCGGCGTGGTGTTGATCGAGCCGCCTAACACGTTCACGACGGTGAGGTTGTTGTTGAATGATGCGTGCCATCTCGTCGAACCTCTGATTCATGATTTTCATCAGACCTCGCACCGAGGCCTTGGTAGTGTCGAACCCTTCGCCTAGGTTATCCATGGCCTCGCTCTTGCTTCGTACTTGCATGTCCAAGTACTCGAGTTTATCCTTCATCTCCTTGTTGGCCATGGCTTTCTTTTCGTTCCTACGTTCCTTGCTGTTGGGATAATTTTTTTTTTTTTTTTGAACAAACGAAAATTAAAAGAATAGATGAAAAAAAATGCACGATCAAACTCTCTCAATGAAAGAACCAATGATGAGAGATCGTTCTTCCGATTGCCGGTCGAGCCACGCAAGCGCCTCGTTCACGATGATAGGTTCGGAGGTTCACTCACGCGCCCCTTTGAATTAAAGTTGCAAAAGACAACGTAAAGAATTCTAAGGCAAAGTGTTTGAACAAAAGTTCGGTTTTTGTATTAAATTCAATGATGAAAAATAACATGAGCATGCGCCTTTATACAGGCTTCAAATAAATCTAGTCCTAATCAATCTAAATCTCCTAATAAAGCAATAATTAAAGTCCTAAACAATCTAGAAATCATAAGAAAACTAAATGTCTAAAGGAGTCCTAAAAGATCTAGTCTTGTGCGCCAAGCAAAGAAACCCTAGCCGCCTTGGTCTCTTTATTGCGCGCCTCTCCTTTTGCCTCGAGGACTAAGGCATCGCCGCCTTTGTGCGGGCGTGTCTCCTCGTCACGTGTCTCGCCTATCTCCACGAGGACTCCGCGAGCGTGGCCGTACCCACCTACGTGTGTACACGCGGTCCTCACCTCCGCGCCTTTCGCTTTGCCACCTATTTCGCGCGTGTCATCTCCTGGCCCGCGCGCGCCTGTCTCGAGTACGAGTGTTTCGCCCAACCACCGTGCTAACCTCTTCCTCGCATGGTAATCCCAGCTCGAGGCGTTCTTAAGTCGTCGCGCCACATCTTCATCAGTGGCGCGTGGATGGTGCGGGACTGCCGTGGAGGGTGGCGCTCGGTGTTTGGAGGTGGAGGGAGGTGGCGGCTGATGTTTGGGAGAGAGGGGAGTGTGTTGTGTCTTGTCGCCAGGAAGAGGTACCAAATTGAATGGCAGAAGAGGTACCAAATTAAACAGGGTATTGGCACGAGGCCTCTTCCCTGGTTTTCTGCCATTCAATTTGGTACCTCTTCTGCCATTCAATTTGGTACCTCTTCCCGGCGACAAGATACAACACACTCCCATCTCTCTCAAACATTAGCCGCCACCTCCCTCCACCTCCAAACACCAAGCGCCACCCTCCGCGGCTGTCCCACACCATCCACACTCCACTGATGAAGACATGGCGCAACGACTTAAGAACGCTCGGAGGTTGGGCGAAATGCTCGTACTTGAGACGGGCGCGCGTGGGCCAGGAGATGACACGCGCGAAATGGGCGGCAACGCAAAAGGCGCGGATGTGAGGACCGCGTGTGCACATGCAGACGAGTACGGCCATGCTCGCGGACTCCTCGCGGAGATAGGCGAGACGCGTGACAAGAAGACACGCGTGCGCAAAAGCGGCGATGCCTTAGTCCTCGAGGCAAAAAGGAAAGGCGCGCGATGAAGAGACCAAGGTGGCTAGGGTTTCTTTGCCTGGCGCACAAGACTAGATCTTCTAGGACTCCTTTAGACATTTAGTTTTCTTATGATTTCTAGATTGTTTAGGACTCTTATTGCTTTATTAGGAGATTTAGATTGATTAGGACTAGATTTATTTGAAGCCTATATAAAGGCGCATGCTCATGTTATTTTTCATCATTGAATTTAATACAAAAACTGAACTTTTGTTCAAACACTTTGCCTTAGAATTCCTTACGTTTTCTTTTGCAACTTTAATTCGAAGGGGCGCGCGAGTGAACCTCCGAACCTATCGTCATGAACGAGACGCTTGCATGGCTCGACCGACAATCGTACGCACGATCTCTCATCATTGGTGCTTTCATTGAGAGAGTTTGATCGTGCGTTTTTTTCCAACTATTCTTTCAATTTTTGTTTGTTCAAAAAAAAAAAAAATTAGTCCCAACAGCAAGGAACGTAGGAAGGAAAAGAAAGCCATGGCCAACAAGGAGATGAAGGATAAACTCGAGAACCTGGATGT